TGGGAAGGGAGCTTGCCCACTACCCTGAAGCATAGGAGAAGACTTTTCTCATTTCCTTCTCACAAATGGATGGGGGATACTATCTTCAGAGATGAGCCTCAGAAGATGGATGATTTGCCATTTAATCCTGACCTCTGGTTAACACTAGTTCCTGCTTTTGAAAGTTTGTTCCTGTCCCTTACAGTAAACCTTGTTCTGTAGGGAGAGTCTCTAGCTCAGCGGCAGCTCTCCCTCCTTGGTCCAGCAACATCTTTCCTCACTGTGGTGTTTAGCATTCACTTTGTAATTTCTTGACTGCTATAGGGATCCCGGGAGCTAGTGAGCTCCAGGAGTTAGTGGCACTTTCCCGTTTTGCTTTGTATTCCAAATTTCTCCAGTCATTGAAGGCCTAATAAAACCTAACTCTCTTATCCAAGGCTACTTTCCTTTCTAAAATGCACCCAGCCACAGAAATTTGCAGATTGTTTTGAGATCAGAATAAATTGCTGTTTGTCTTGGAAGACATCAGGAGTTGGCATTGTTGGTTCTTGCTAAGTTACCCAGGCTGGCCTTAAACTTGTGATCCTCCTGCCTTAGCCTCTTGATTAGTTGAGATTACAGGTGTGTGCCACTCATTCAGCTAGCATTTAGTTTTACCATCCATATTAAAAAAATTTTTTTGCCCTAATTTCATGTATGATCCTTGGCAATAGCGGCAGCAGCTTGCTATTATTTACTAGATATGTTCTCAAAACATAGATGAATAAAACTACCTATTTGAAGTAACTTTTTATTTGTTTTTAAACTTGACTTTATTTTGTAGAGTAGGTTCACAGCAAAATTGAATGAAAGATAACAGCTATTCCCCACACCCCTCCCCAAAACGTACACAGCCTCTACTGTTGGCACCCATCACCAACATGGTATGTTTGCTACAATTTATGAACTTATGTTGCAAATTCCCTAAAATTCATCATTTACCTTAGGGTTCATTCTGATTTTTTTAAAGGGGCTATCTTTTTTTTTTTTTTTAAATAAATTGTAAACAGAGTACGGACTGTATTTTGAAAAGCAGTTTGCATTGAGAAGATCTAAGGTGTTGTACACTTGGGACCTTTCTGTGACCATATGGCATTTACCTATAAGTTTTATAATATTCATGTTATAAAGTGAATGGGACGAAGCCCCAAAGAGCCACATGGGGAGAATCAGTTTCTTGGAGCCAAGCATTGAACAGAAAAGGAGATGGTTCAGAGTGGATTTTGCGTCAAGTCCGCAGTATGGTGGCATATTTCAATCCCAGCTCTATCCGTGAGGCGCAGGGAGCTGAGTTTTGTTTGAGGTAGAACTACATGGCTATTGGGTGATTAAAAGGGGGAGCTTGACAGGTGTGCTGTGGATTCTCGGAGAGCTTAAAAATAATGGATAATTCATTGACTATTAAAAATGTTTAAACTGAAAGGAACTAAGAGATTGCTAATCGGTCTGGTTAATCTCAGACAGATTGTTACCTGGGGGAAGTTTAGGCATAATACTTCCTAAAGGTAAGGGTCATCCCAAATGAGTGCCTGAAAGTTCTTTCCAGAAGCAGAGATCTAGATGTCACAGGCTTTAAACCCAGGAAAATGATGTGTGTGGAAGAGGTGGAAAAGTGCTAGCTCTGGAGGAGTAGATCATCTAAAGTGTGTTAATATTTTTATTAGTATATTAAAATAAGAACAAATGACTGTGGGTGTTGAAAGAAAGGAATCCTTGTGTTGAGAAGGGTCTAGAGAAGTTGATTAAAAGAGGCAGCAGCATTTAAATAGAGCTTTAGAGAGTAGGTACGAACATGTTTATTACCTTCTTCTTAACTTTTGGTTTTGAAAATGGACAGGAAAGCTAAAAGAGTTGCAGTAGATATCTGTATGCAGATATTCAGACAGCTGGATTCCACAACTGTTAACCGTTTTTTAGCATTTGTTTCAATTCTGAATTTTTGTATATGTTTTAACCATTTTAAAGTTGGGGCAGGCATCACGATAATTTTATCCCTGCTAAAGGCCACTGCCATCTCCTAACACCATTCTTCTCCATAACGACAATCCACTATCAAAAATTCAAGAAAATTAACAATAACACATTGGTATCATCTAATTTCTATTTTTAAGTTTTTCTAGCAGTCTCATTTAGCTTTGGTAGCTCCCCCCTACCCCCCACCAAAAAAACAAACAAAAAAAAAACCCTTGATTTAACCAATCAAGATGGGCACATCGTATTTTATTTTCCTGACTCCTAAATCTCTTCTACTCAAAGGCAGCCCTTTCTGCCTGCCCCTTCCAGCTCCTTTCCCCGTTCAGTTTTTGTTCCATGATATTGACTTTCAGAAGGACCAGGCTGATTTTCTCACAACTTTTTTTTGTTGATATCTTATCCTATAAGTTTCTTGCAAATGGAAGATTTAGAAAGTCTTTTTAAAACTCAGAATGGGGTGGGGTGTGGTGGCACCCACCTGTAATCCCAGTGACTCTTGGGAGGCTGAGGCAGGAGGATCACAAATTCAAGGCCAGCCTAAGCACAACTTAGTGAGACCCTGTCTCAAAGTTAAAAATAAAAAGGGCTGGGGATATGGCTCAGTGGTACAATGCCCCTGGGTTCAATCCCTGAACCAAACAAACAAAAAAAAAAACCGAGAATAGGTATTTTCTAAGAAAAATGCTACCAGATTGTTGTTAGCCATGCATGTAAAGATATTGCTCCTGACATGCTATTTTCAATAGATAATCTGCAAAATAATCTTTATTTACAAAAATAATACAGGACAGTCGGAAGACACTGGAACAACTAAAATAAACATAAGGTTAGCGTTCTATTTAATATCTTCTGATATTAGTATCTACTGATATTAATATTCTACTGATATTACCCTGTGGTGGTAATTTTGCTAAACTTACAATCTTTCCTATGTACATGTCTTATTTATTCTGACTACTGCCATCATCTACACACATTGCCGGTGCAGAGTTCTATTTCACTAGCTGTGCATTGTGAACGTGGTCCTGTAGCATAAGTTGTGGAGATTGTTTTTGATAGGATAGATATGCAACAAGCCAGCCACATTCCTGCATGGGTGTTTAAGGTGAGACACACCCAAATATATTTAAGTGCCTGGCCCAAGATTAGAAAAATGGTTTGTGATCACAGAGCAAATAGTTGTCTCTGTTGGAGGTTCTCTGACTAATGGAGGCATGAAATCCTGGCCTCTCTGCCCTGTGCTTCAGTAAGTCGAGGGGAATTTGTCAGTCATAAACACTTCAGGGCTGTATATTTGGATTCTGGGCTACCGTCCCTTTCTTTTCCTTTGGGTGGGTCCCTCCGTATTTCTGTACCTATCAGGAGATCAGGTCGGGCTACCTTGGAGGTAAACATGATGCGCTGCCAATGAGAAGTAAGTTAGAAACGTTAATAGATTTCACCAAGCCAGAGTCTCTAGCACATGTATTTTAAGCCATCATAAAGCATATACCTGTCATGTTAAGGAATGTGCCAAAGGCAAGTATCAAAAGACCTGCCGTGGGAGTGCAGGAGTGTGTTTTGCTGTGTTGTAGCTTATGCCCTGACAACCTCCCGGAGGCCTGGGGGCTGGCAGGGAGTGGTCTATAAATATCGAAGCCATCTTATTTATTAATCTAAGAATTCCTGCAACTATGAGTTACTCCTGTTTGTCCTCCTGAGTGTCCCGAGGCTCAGGGATATTTCTGTGTTGGTGGATAGAGGGAGGGGGTGAAGCATGGGGTGGGTCTGCTGGAGTTAGGAAATCCAGTTCACCAAACAAATGAGCTAGAGATGGTCCTTGAAGCTTAACGGAGAACAGACCATTCGGATAGAAGAAAAGCTTTCTGGATATTTCTGGGTTCTTTGAAAGATTAGTTTCACAAACCTCCCAGCCGGAGGATTGCGCGTGCAGGGTAGAACAGTAAAGCTGCTTTTGTTGTTGTTATTTTATTTGGTGTTCTCCATGGCAATGAAGTCATCCTTCTCATTTGGTGGGACATCAGGGTTGCCAATAAATCTTATTATTAGTTAAGTTGAATTATCTGTGATTTTAGTCACAGGGTTTTTTGCATCAGGCATTTTTTGGGGTAAAGGAACAAAATGATGGTAGGATGGTTCCACACATCTGTCTAAATATTTGTTGAAAAAAAGGACAAAGAGTTGTGTACTTAAGAATCACAGATTTTAGGAGCCAGGAGTGTAGCTCAGTGATAGAGCATGGGCTTAGCATGTGCCAGGGTTCCTGGGTTCAATCTCCAGAAACCCCTCAAATAAATAAATAGATAGATAGATAGATAGATAAATAAATAAATAAAATACAGATATATTTTAAATTATTTTTAAAAAGAGGAAAGTAGCTGATTATGTGAAATGTGTATTCCTACCATTTCACATCATCCTAAGTAAATATAATATATAATAAAATAAAGATAAATGTTAAAAATAAAAGCTAAAGACATTAATTAAAAAAAAGAGGAGGTGGTGTTACTAAGAGCGAGGAGGAACAAGATCAGATTTTAAGTTCAGCAAGGTAATGAAATCACTGAACTTCTTTTCATCTGTAAAGAAATTTATTCTCTAGGAAGGTTCATGAGATTAAAACGAGAATATAGAAGTTAAAGTGCTCAAATTATGCTCCTAGTGCTTTTTACGAGCAGATAGTATTGTGGAGTGGGAAAAGCATGTGAGTTGAAGTTGCATGGACGCTGGTTTGAATTCTGGCCTTGCAGTGAACACTGTTGAGTTGGTCTGAACTCTACATCTTCAGCTTGAAGTGGCTTTTATCATAGAAGCCTCATAAAATAGGGCAGAGCACATGGCCTCCACCAAAACCCTTAGGAGCTTAGAGTTCCTGGTGCTGGGACCTGGCTGTTCACCTGCCTCTCTGTGTATGTGTGTGTGTGTGTGTGTGTGTGTGTGTAGTATGTACCACACTATTGAGACTTCCCTTCCAACACATGACCAGGCTCTTTCTTTTCTTTCTGCAGCTGTCTTCCAGAAGGCCACGCCGGGCATGGACACCGCTTTCTATACCTGCAGGAGCACAGGGGGTAGTGTGATCACCCGGTCACAAAACTGCTAAGGCCATCTCAGGGGCGTGTGCGCCAGGACAGGAAGGCGGCGTCGGAGGGCCACAGAACCATGCCTTTTGGTCTGAAGCTCCGCCGGACACGGCGCTACAACGTCCTGAGCAAGAACTGCTTCGTCACGCGGATCCGCCTGCTGGACAGCAATGTTATTGAATGCACACTGTCTGTGGAAAGCACGGGGCAAGAGTGCCTGGAGGCTGTGGCCCAGAGGCTGGAGTTGCGGGAGGTAAGGCGAGTGTGAGTGGACACCGTGCCCATGCGTCGGGTGGGCATAGGAGGAAGAAATCCCTAGTGGACCCAGCCAGCTGTTTTTTGGCACCTGCCATGCCCTTTAGCCCAAGTGCTGTGTTCATGAGATCCTGCTCTTCTTAGCATGAGAGTGATCTCAGACTTCAGTGGGTCAGACCTGAGCGGAACAGGGACCCTGCCTGGAGCTGCCACAGGGTGGGAGATCCCAGTTGTTCCCACCAGAAAGGAGGTTTGCTGGGAGGTAAAAATGTGAGACTCTCCCCACCAAAGTCATTTTCTTACTTTGAAACAATGAGTGGGTAGTTGGTATCTTKGCATCTCCGACACAGATCAAGGAGAAGACGCCCACATTCAGAATGGGTGCAGCTGCTCTTCTGTTTGTTTCTATATTTTCCTCTCGAAGAAGAGAAAAAGCATTTAAAGTGAGCGTGATCAGTGAGACTTTGGGGAGGGATTGTAAAAGGAGGATTTGTTTCTTTTAAGATCCTCACAGACCTGGGTTTTTTCATACCGTCTGTGAGACTGCTTGGACTTCAGGCATCCCGAGGGCTGACCATTTAGAAGGTCACGTCGTCACTCTTTAGAACTAGAGACCTGGGGCAGCACAGGGGCTCTGTGTTGTTCATGACCTGCAAGCCCTGCTTTTCTCAGGCTTATACTTACAGACATTCAGGACAAGAGGCACAGACGTGTGTGTCTGGGTCTTGACAGCCTGGTATGCTGGTGGGTGGGCAGAGGAGGTGGGTGGGATGGCGGTCAATGCTGACTGCTGTAGGCCCCAAGGTGCACGGTCCTGAGCATCAGAAAATGCTTTGCAATCATCTGAGGCTCTCGTGGGGTCCAGGGGACAGCACTGCCCAGGACTGTAGGTGACAGAGGAGGTGATGGTCACTGTTGGGAGTGAGCATATGTGGTTTCTTTCCCTCTGCACAAAGGCCCTGCCCAAGAGTCCTCCCCTCCCCTGTCCTGTGCTGTTCCCTGGGAAACTGGTCCACCTGAACCCTCTGTCTCCTGCTGTTCTTTGTGTTGAGACTTTGGATGCAGTGGTCATCTGTCCTTTGAGGTTTGCTTTGCAGTTCTAGACCAGAGAAGGGGAGGTGACACAAGAGAGGCCACATGTGAAATGTCCTGCCTTGATGATGGGTAGCACATTAGGGTTTTGAACGAACACACACACACACACACACACACACACACACACACATAAAGGAAAAACCCTGATATTGCTGAGTAGTTGGGCATCTAAATTCTTGGAAGAAATTCAATTATAGCACATTAAAAAGACATGAAGTTGTTTTTTTACTTTTGAGGACTTCAAGTCACTCATGTTAACTGTGTATTATTTGTAGGCATTGATAGCATGTGGCTAAGTAGCTATAAGCACAGGCTTGTATTGCTTTTTTTGGGAGGGGGTGCTGGAGATGGAACCCAGAGGTGCTTTACCTGAGATACAGCCCCAGGTTTTTTTTCATTTTGAGTCAAGTTCTCACTTAAGTTTTTGAGGGTCTCGCTAACTTGCCTTAACTGGCCTTAAACTTTGTGATCCTCTACATCAGTCTCCTGGGTTGCTGGGATTACAGGCGTGCACCACTGCTTCCAATAGGCTTTGTAGTCTTGAACTTGGGTTCAGAGCATTATTCTGTCACTTACTAGCTGGGTATCCTTGGAAAAGTTACTGAAGCTCTCTGGGCATTGATTTTCCCACCTGTGATTGAAAACAATGATGCTTACCTAGTGGGACTATTGTAAATCCTGAAAGTTTGTGTGGAAAATGTGTAATGCTGTATCTAATAATTTATATTGTTTAAATTTGAATGTCTTAACGAAAAGTTTTACATGGAAAGAAAATATTGAGCCACTGTATTATATCAGGTACTATTTTAGGACTTGATGAAACAAAGATAAATAAGCTACAGTTTTGTCTTCAAGACATGCACAGAACAGTAGGGGAACGTAGCACATAAAAAAACATTCAGATTGAACACTATCTGTGCTGAAACAGAAATTAGGAGTAGGCCTGAAAAGCGACTGTTCTCCTTAGAGTTGTGCAGTACATTCACTGACCCACTGACTGCTGCAGCTTGGGAAAGAAAGTCTCAGTGAAAGGCAAACAGAGCCTCTAGTCTTTGAACTGGGACTCCAAGGATACTTAGAGATTYAGCAGGTAGAAAAGAGGCAGGTCATCCTGAGCACTCAGAATTGGATTTTAAAAGATTCAAGGATGTGAAAGAGCAGCTACCAGTCTTGGGGGCTGAGAAGGGATCTTGGCCAGTCACCAGGTAGAGCTAGAGTGAAGGGAGAAAGGTGAGGTGTCTGGACATGTGCGTGGTAATAAATACTTGACTCAGACTGTCATGGCTCCTAGTGAGAGGGCAAAGGGCAGCCTCGGATTATCCCACAGCTACGCCTTGACAAAGGGTGAAGTGCAGTTAGATTCCCCTGTCAAGTGTGTGTGGAGCTGTGATTGATGTCCCATTACGAAGGGGGCCTTGCATTTAACCCTGGCTTTATTTTGACACGCCCTAAATAAGTCCATCACATTGGAGCAAATCACTTTCTCTTTGAGTTTTGTGCTTTCATTCTACGACAAATAACACTGAAGGTCTGACCTTGTGTAAATCAGTCCTGTCAATATTCTTGAGTGAAAGGGCAGATGGAGTCAGCTGGTGCTTTGTTCTTCATTTACACACGCACACCTGGAGCAGGACGGCTAAAAGCACAAGTAGCAGGGGAGAGTGCAGGGTCTGTTCCTCAGACCTTGACCTTTTCCAAATAGAGCTGATGGTCCTTTAGAAGAGAAAGTGAAAATAAATCTAAAGTATAACAAAGTGTTTAGTCCTGATGAAGCCTTAGAAACCAGATGATGATGGATATTTGGCCTTGTCATTGGAACTAGTTTAGTTGTATCCTAAATTTTATAATAGCTAATAATTTATAAAGGAAAGGATGTATAGTAGACTTAAAACACTTTTTAAAAACTGTGTGATCTATGTTAATTCTTTTACCAGTTAATCTTGTAAGATAGTTGTAAAATAGGCTTCAAAGATTTTTTTTTTTTTTGTACCAGGGATTGGATTGAACCCAGGGGGGCTTAGCCACTGAGTAACATCTCCAACTCTTGCCTATCTATCTATCTATATCTTTTTTTTTTCTTTCTTAATTTAGAGACAGGTTTCATTGAGTTGCTATAAGTGCATTGCTAAGTTGCTGAGGCTGGCTTTGAACTTGTGATCCTCCTGCCTCAGCCTCCCAAGCTGCTGGGATTACAGGCGTCTTCAAAAAATTTTAAAGACTATCTTTTAGAGTAGTTTTAGGTTTGAGAGGAAGGTATAGAGATTGTACTCCCCATCCCAACTCATGCATAGCCCCTCACCCCTGCTAGTCAGATGTTTGTTAATATTAAAGAACTTATGTCCTCACGTCACTATCACCTAAAGCCCTTAGTTTGCATTAGGATTCACTGTTGCAGCTGCATGTTCTGTGGGTTTGGGCAGATGTGTGAAGGCTTGGAGGTGCGCGGAACACTGAGCAGCAAGTCTGTTTTAGGTGTACTGGTGTGCTGCTGGTTCCCACAGCATTCAGAGGGTCCAGGTCTGGTTCCTGTGGTAGCAAAGACCTTCGAAGCTGCATGTGAAGGGTGCCTGCCTCCAGGAACTAGGGGAGCAAAGGAATGAGAAACCAAGCCCAGGGTACAGTTCATGCCAAAGRGCAGAAGCGGGAAAGAACACAGAATTTTTAGGACAGGGCAGAGAGTGATTTTCACCATTGCCTTTGTGAGTGTGGAAGGGGTCATGGCAGGGAGAGGCGGGGAGTGTGGTGAGGCAGGTGGGTCTGTGAGTTTTAACTAGATCCTGTAGGGCAGTTTCTGAAATGTATCACAAAGACTTAAAGAGAGTCATCACCTTTTCATGTCCCATGTACGCGTGGAGGACTTTCCACCTATCAGCTCACTGACATTTCGTGAGTCTGTACTCTTGGTGTCCCCACATTAGAGCTCAGGATGACCCGTATACAGGCATTGTGCTGGTAAATTGTGAGGCTGGTCTAAACTGAGGCAGGTGACTCTCCAGGTCTAGTTCCCAGAAGAGTGAAGTGGAGGAGAAGAGTTTGGGTAAAATGTTTTGGGAACCACTCTCTGAAGTTCTATAGTAAGAAGACAAACAAATGTGGCAGAGCTGGGATGCAGCTCAGTGGTAGAGCGCTTGCCTAGCACGTGCAAGGCCCTGCTTCAAGCCCTAGCATTGCAGAAAGAAACCAAAAAGGTGTTTGTTTTAGTTTTCACTGCTGTGACTAAAAGACCCCATCAGAACAACTGTAGAGGAGGAAAAGTTTGAGGGCTCAATTTCAGAGGTCTCCATCCATAGACAGCAGGCTCCATTCCTTGGGACTCAAGGTGTGGCTGAACATCATGGCAGAAGAGTGTGGCAGAGGGAAGCAGCTCATATAAAGATCAGAAAGCAGAGAGAGAGAGGTCTCCACTTGTCAGATACCAGGTCCAGAGCCATGCCCCAATTCCCACCTCCTCCAGCCACACCCCGACACTTCAGTTACCACTCAGTTAATCCCTAACAGGGGATTAACTCACTGATTGGGTTAAGACTCTCACAACCYGATCATTTCTCCTCTGAATCTTCTTGCATTGTCTCACATGTGAGCTTTTGGGGGGATACCTCACATCCAAACCATAACAATGTTTCACAATTATTTTAACCTTCTAGTAAATACTCTTAAACTTTGGGGAGTGAGGGGAAATACTGCTGAGAGATATGAAGACATCAGAGGACTCTAAGGAGGAGCGTGATGTGATCAACTTTTGTTTGAGGAAAAGGACCCAATGATGAACAGAATGGGGATTGGAAGGGAGGGACAGRAGGAACAGGGACTCCAGTGGAGACCATGGTGATCCTGGCAAGAGGTAATAAGAATGAACTTCTTAGGAAAAAAATATCTTTTCAATCATTTTCAAGGTCAGACAAA